TAGAATATGGATGCTGCGTTTGAAGCCCTCAGTACGGCGTCCATAGTAAACGCATTGAGTCGGTTCAAAAGAACTTTTTACTTTTCGCTCTACGCGGTTTAAATTGGGATGCAAACCAAAGATTACCTTCCTACTCTAGTAGACTCCTATTAATAAACTTGCCGTCCTTAGCCAATCGTAGAACGATGCTAAGGATAACCTTTATTTTTAACCTTATACATGGTGATGTGGAAAGTGCTGACTTGTTGAGTCAGCTTAATTTCCATGTACCATGTAGAACTACTAGATCCTATATCCCATTAGTGTTGCGCCACTGTAGAACCTCCTTTGAACTGCATGAACCTTTTAGAGTGCTATGTGCAAATTATAATGATTTGTACACACTAATCTCTAACGTAGATACCCTTCCCAAATTAAAATCTTTTATACTAACACACTTAGTAAGCATGCAAGCTAACAGTCTGGCAGCACGCCGGTAGTCAATTTTCCTCGTATTCTGTCCTATATTTTCCATCGCGCCTACTAACACCTAACCCAAACAGGCACGTGCCTGGTGTCATACGGGCCACTTGAATGTACTGACCTTAGTGCATCAACGTCCAAGAGAATTGAAATAAAAACGATCGTTAAATATATAGAAAAAAGAAAAACATTAAAAGTAAATCGTAACTGTAAAACTGTCAATATAGTAAGCAAAGGTGAATGTATCGAAAGTAGGAATTACCTTGTTGTTTTTTAACACAAGCAAATATCATTTGTATCGTTTTATTTATGAATGATCGATTTGCAATCTGCAAGGGTATACAAACTTCAGCGTGGCAAAGTTGGATTCCTTTCTCATGGTTTTGTCATTATCAACATTGATTCCCCTAGTAAGCCCCGGGGATTCGAAATTTAGAACGCTTGCTTTCTGACCCTAGCGATTTTTTTTTTCTTTTTGTGACTCCAAATACGTCCTCGGAGATTCCGCAAGGGACTGGTACTGAACTGTGCATATACCTACATACTTATGAATGTAATAATATATATTATATAAAAACTACTACAACTACAGTGGTAAGTCTTTAAAATGTCCGGAAATATTGTCAGTTTCGCCAAAATCTGCAAAAAGGCTATTTTTAAGGGAATTTTAAACAAGTTTTCGTAAAACTCTTGAAATGTTCTTGGCTCTGGACACCCAATTTAATAGCTTTACGCAATAAATGAGTCCCCGAGGCGCAAAAAAAACTGCCTTTCGTTTGCATCTCAGGTTAATCTGAGAATCTCTTCCGGAGATTCTGAGCTCCGCAGTTTTTCCAGCTGCGTTCACAGTATATCGGCTAGATCGTCCTATCAGACGCGAGGGTGAAGTTTTTATAGCGGTGGACTCCTCACTCATTTCAGAATAATTAAACTTCGAGGAATGCAACGATGTTGATTTCCTCAGTGTGAAGGTAGCTCCATTTTATTACCTGTTCCTACATACCTCCATTGTCGGAACTACCTATTTATTGGAATCACCGTTCCGCTGTTCAGATGGTTTCCAGTAGACTTTTGGATAGAGACCAGTTGGTAGTCCAAGGAGATTTTAATAACTCTGGTGCTATTTGGTGCTCAAATAATTCAACCAATACTCTCCTAACTTCTACACAACATGATATTATCGCTGGCTTGTTCGACATTTCGCTGTCTCAAGTCAACCATGTGCGAAATTCCTTACAGCGCTTGCTCGATCTTTGTCTTGTCTCAGATCCGGCGACAGTCAGTTTAGCCAGGGTGGCGCCTCTGACGCGAGTTGACTCCTGATATTGGGTCTGAAATACAGAATATATATAACGGTCCAGTCAAATATGTCCAGTTTTTGCAAGACGGACTTTGAACGGCTGAATTATTTTATATATGAGTTCAAGGTGGAGAGGAGTATACATGTACACTGACATGGCAGTTGCCGTAGATATTTTTTATAATGCCATGAATTCATTTTTTATTGTTTGTGTACCGTTGTACTATTCGCCAATCTCGAATAAACCTCCGGGGTTTATTAAAAGTTGAGCCGACTATAAAATAAAAAATTCGAAGCTGTATGCTAAATTCACATTCACCGGTTCTTAATCTACATTTCATCTTATTTATTAGCTCGGTCAAACTTTACGTTGCTGTCCTAGTCTAAACGAAAGATCTCGTCTTTTAGATCTTCTTCATGTCAAGCCAGAATATTCGCCAAGTCCCGACGTAATTCCTGGTTCGTTGCTCAGGTATTGTGCCGACACCTTGTGCTATCCTTCTCTTCTGAAATTGTTTACTTTATCCTAAAAAACCTCCCACTTTCCCATTATTTGGAAGGAATCATTTTACTATTCCTCTCCATAAGAAAGGTAGCAATTTGATTGCCAACAATTATAGAGGAATATCTAAGTTATCGGCTATCCCTTAACTTTTCGTAGAGCAGTGTATTTCTCCATGTCAACATGGTTTACTTCTGGCGTCCCACAAGGAAGTCATTTGGGACTCTTATTGTTTACATTGTTTATAAATGACCTGCTTAAAGTCTTAACTAACTCCAACATAAACATACAGAAGAAACCCTTAGAACATAAGATAAATTATTTGCGTCCTGCCATTCAGATAACTTGAGATCCAGTTAAGAAGATCTACTGGAAAACCCATTAAATCGAGTTTCCTAATCTGGAGAAAATTTGTCAATTATGGATTATATCTGTATGCAAATTTTTATGGAAGTCCTTTATAATAAAGGAGGAGAGCTCTAAAAGATTTCTTGTTTTTGATCTTCGGTTAATAAAACCATGTTGACATGGAAAAATGACAGATCGATAGAGGTGCTGCAAATGAGGAGTAATTACGTTTTCGAAAAGTTAAAGGATAGCCGACAACTTAGAGATACCTCTTAGTATTGTTGACATCCGATTTGCTACCTTTCTTGTGGAGAGGAATAATAAACGATTCCTTCCAAAAAAGAGGAATTGGGAGGTTTCTAAGGATTAGGTTAACAATTTCAAAACGAGATAGAACAGGGCGTCGGCACAATTAATAAAATTAAGTTCGATTTGGGCATAACCGAAGAATAAGATTGATTTAAGTCCAAACAGTTTGAATACGTTGTTGTACGTTCTTGAATCTGCCGTGCCAATATCGGCCAATATTTACGGGGCATTGGGAGGTTATTATTATTTGGGACCTCCCAGGGGACAAAACGGATTTCACCGGCGGCACGGGCCCTCCCGCGGCACATTCGGGCACCAAATCTTTTTTAGCGCTTAATCTCACCAACCTTGGAGTTAAAGCTGAGGTCGAGTGCTCTTCTGAAGGGGGCTGCTGCTGAGACCCCGTTTCGAATAACTGGGATCCACCTAATTGCTGCTCACCAATTAAGGTATCTTTTGCGTCTTGGAGACTCATTTAATAGCGTTAGGCTTTTATATTGGGTTTCCAGCGTGAAGAACATCTCGTGAGATTTACGAAAACTCAATAATATGTCCTTAAAGCTACTCTTGGTTTGCCGCATAAAAGACATCATCTCGTTTTCCAACTCGCGGTAGGCCTCGCAGCAGTACCGCAGGCTAATGTTTTTTCTCACATCGTCCACCGTCAATAATGAACACAGATTATAATAGCTGCGGGCACACGCGAAGTGAACAGGAAGTTATTTTTAACAAAAGTAGCAGATTTAATTAAACCCTGGTGGTTTTATGCCAAATTAATCAAGAACAGAAGAAAAAACACGTGCTCTCACTTTGAAAGATGAGAGAATAAAAACTTGACCATTGAAGATGTAAGTGTGCAACACGGCGAACGCTAAATTAAGTCTACACTTGTCTATTTCGTGCTCGACCTCTACAACTAATTTTAGAGTCAATAGTTTCACATTTTTCTTAATTTTCCAGCTAATATAATGCTCTTCATGTTCTTTGAAGAATGTATTCGGTGCATTTTAACCTTTTCTTTTAGCCATTTAATGATGGGTCGTAGATATTTCAGATTTAAAAATATCAATTGAGTTGATTGAGAACTAATTATCGTAGTTTAGTAGATATTTACTTTTATATTTTACTTATTTCCCCATATCTTCTAATTTGAATGTGATCAAGTCAATAAACTAATGAAAAATATATAAGTACTAATACCCATGTCGAAGTAAAAAAAATAATTATTTTGGTTTAATGAATTCAAAATTTATTTAATTTTTTTGTTTTTTAATAAATTTGGAGTTCCTTGGTAATTTTGCGCTTTAATTTTACTGATATCTTGCTTAGTATATTAGCTTCAAACCTCTTTACGTATAAACCAGTATGCTTTACAAGCTCCTATAGTTTTATACTCTAATATGATTTTTAGAAGTCCTACTTCTCCTTCGGTCAAAAGATTTACCTTTCACTTGTAAACTTGTTTATATCAAACATAAAGTTAAAAAACAGTAAAGTTATTATTTTTATGATTAATTTGCCGATCGTTTCAGTAGTAGCTAGTAGAATGATATGATAGAGTCGTCCGTTCAGGGTTTTTGAAACTACTTGCAAATTTCAGTCAGATATACAAAAAAGCTAAACGACTAATTTGCATAGTCCGGTTTTTACCTGTTCCGGTCAAATAACCGGAATTTAACCAGATATGACTAAAGCAATCCAACTAGTGTTATAATCCCAAATACCTATTAATTTAATCAGCTGTTTTAAACCACTTTCAAATGTCGAGTCGTTTTAACAGTAAGGTGGTATACGGATATATTCAGATCTCGTTGGTTTAATCGAAAACTTTTCTTTTTCTTTTTATATATCTGTGTGAGACTAGAATACGCGTAGATTTTTCAATAAATATGTTTAATATTTTATTTTATGTTTTATTACGTTATGTATAAATATATATATAAATAAAACATATATATCTGGTTATCTGGTATAAAAGTTATCTGGTTATATATATATATATATATAACAAGATAACTTTTATATATATATATATAAGTTATTTATATATATATATAATTTATGATTTAAGCGACATACCTGAAAATGAGATTATGGTGTTGACATTGACAGGGTGCACGGGCTCACCATCAGTTGCTATTACCGTCATCCCGTGACCCTCTATTGTTACTTGTGCAGGGCAGACCGAAGCGAATGCATTTATCATGCGGAATCGGTAACGGCGACCAGGTGTAATTGTAAAAATTTCTAATGGCGTATTAGTCATAAATCCAGTATTAGGATCGCGGAACTGGCCTTTGCCGTTTATTAGCATTGATTCAGGATCTTGGCCGGTATTTACTGCTAGACGACCTGGATAGCGCTCTGCAGCATCTTCATGCAACCAGTCACTAATAAGCATTATATGTGTGGTCAAGTCGAAATCATATAAATGAGAATTAGGATCTCTTGACGGTGGTTGACGAACAACAACGCTTCCGTAAAGTCCATCCAATTTCTGTAGGCCAGTATGGGCATGCCAAAAGTGAGTGCCGGCGTTTCCTGTCCATTGGTAACGAAACGTATTACCCTGTTGAATAGGGCACTGGGTAACGAAAGGGACTCCATCATAGTACTGCGAACCGCGCTGCCAAATACCGTGCCAGTGAATGGTAACTTCCATTCCTTCCATATGGTTTTCTACATCAATGACAACCTTGTCATTTTCGCAAACCTGAATGCTGGGTCCAGGTATCATACGATTTGCGGTCAGAATTCCCCGTTCAACTCCATCAGCTAAAACACACTGACAATGACTCCAAACTGTATTAGTGGCGTTCGGCGTGCACACCTGGCAAGCACTAAAATGTAAGAAAAAAGGACAATTCTTAAATAACACAAGAAAGGAAAGAAGAAATTGAATTTTTCTCTATATCTAAAAATTGTTTGTGTGGCAGCTATATGATATAATCGTTCGATTTTAATAAAATTAACAAATAATCTGGAAATATTATAATGCAGATATATGAAAATTTTTTGAAAACAGCAAAAGTATAGAAAACGAACTGCAAAGGGACTTTTCAATGGTTTCAAATCTGAGAGACTAGACATCAACATTTCATCAGGTTTCTTTTTATACCCTTGCAGGGTATTATAATTTCAGTCAGAAGTTTGCAACGCAGTGATGGAGGCACCTCCGACTATATAAAGTATATATATTCTTGATCAGGATCAACAGCCGAGTCGATCTAGCCATATCCGTCTGTCCGTCTGTCCGTTTCTACGCAAACTAGTTTCTCAGTTTTGAAGCTATCTGAATGAAACTTTTTAGTTAGCCTTCTATATACTCTCACTCGTATATATGTCGGAACGGGCCGGATCGGATGACTATATCATATAGCTGCCATAGGAATGATCGGAAAATTTTTACAAAAAAATTTTTTACTTTTTCAGTTTTCAATAGAATTGGATCAAATTTGAGATATAGCCATTTTACTATACTTTACAATTTTGCATAAAATTTTATGAAAATCGGACTACTATATCATATAGCTCCCATAGGAACGATCGAGAAATTAATAAAATTAAAAATTTTAACTTTTTCGGTTTTCAACAGATTTTCATCAAATTTGAAGTATAGCCATTTTATATTAGTCTTAAACTTTGTGTCAAATTTCATGAAAATCGGACGACTATATAATTTAGGTGCCATACAAACGATCGTTTGATGGGGAGGAAAAATGCAAATCAGTTAATGTAAAATTGCAAATATAATATGTATAGGGGAATGAAATAAAGCAGGTATTACTTCATTGTTTTTTAACACATTGTATATTGTATGGATTCCTATTCATAGAAGTTCTATCTGCAAGAGTATATAAACTTCGGCGTGCCGAAGTTAGCTTCCTTTCTTGTTTAATAGTTGAATAATAAAATGATTTTGGTTTCGATGGATAAGAAATAGAATGACCAAAAATGTGTAATACCCAAAATCTTCTTCCTCCTGACAAGCTTGCTATGACACACCAAATGACATTTCCTGTGCCACAGGAACCCTGCAGGAGATTAAAGAGGACATTAAAACTGTTAATGCTAAGAAACCCCCTGGAGAGGATCAAATTGATCATCGTGTTGAAAAAACTCTGCCTCTTAGAGCCCTGCTATACCTTATACTCATCTTCAATGCTTCCCTGAGGTTGAGTTATTTTCCGAAGGCTTGAAAGAGTGTTTACATTGTAATGATATTTAAACCTGGCAAACAACCTGAGGCCCTCAAACGTTATCGGCCTATTAACTTTCTTTCCACATTTGGTAAGCTTCTGGAAAGATGTATCCTTAGAAGATTACATCAGTCTCCGAAGGCAATGAACGAAATTTCAATTTGGGTTCAGACTCAGGCACGGCACCCCTGAGCAATTACACCGTGTTGTTGAGTATATATCCTGTCTAGACATACAGCATGCGTTTGATGGGGTGTGGCATGCAGGGCTATTTTGCAAGATCAAGCCTTTAATTAACACGCAACTTTTCGAAATGGTTAGGAGCTTTCTCTCTGACCGGATAGTCAAAGTGGTCCAGGATGGAACCCTATCCTCTCAAAGGTTGAGTAAGGCAGGGAAACGTGATGGGCCCGACGTTGTACAGCTTGTTTACCAACGATACGCCGAAATCCATCCGACAGGAGCAGAATCCAATGTTGGGCACATTTTCTAACGATACTGCGATTCTTTCATATCAAACTGTGTTTATGACGCCACTGATATGCTTCAGTTGTACCTCAAAGGGTTTGAGAATTGGAGCTGTCGCTGGAACATATCCACTCCCTCGTGCCCAAGCTTGTTTCTGCATGGAGAGCTTCTTGAGCAGTGTCACTTTGGACACCCGATTAACCTTCGCAAAGCATACAAGATCAGTTAGGCGCTCATTAAGGGATAAGGCCAGAAGGCTATACTGGCTTCTGAAGAAAAATAATCCCCTGAGCCTGGCAAATAAGGTCCGGATATACAAGTCCATCTTTGCACCTTCTTGGAAATACAAGATTCAAGTTTATGGTATTGCGGTCAAAACAAATCTAAGTCGCATTCAGGTATTCCAAAACAAGTTTCTGCGGAGAATTACTGGTGCTCAGTGGTTCATCCGTAACGTAGACATAACGAGAGAGTTCCTTTTATTGAAAACATAATCAATAAGCAAGCCAAACATTATAATGTATTATGAGGACTTACCATTATACCGGTTACATTTTAAGAGAGAAAGTGAGCAATAGATAAGATAAGAAGAACAACGGTACAGAGAGAGTGTGATAGCTGCATGCACACTCAAAATAAACGGGAAGTTACTGTACACAAAGTAGAAGAGTAAATTGAAACTTCGGTGGGGGGGGGTTGTTATTTGCTGAACATTTGTACATTGCCATCAACAAGATGTATCCAGCTGCAATTTAATTCAATCTTAAAATATACTTACGCGCCTAGCACTGTATAGTATTCCAAGGTAAAATGATAATAGCAAATTCGTGGCGGCTCGCCCTCTCGGCAAGCCCGTGCACATTCATCTGGGGCAGACAAAGCTGGATTCCGTCGCAGTTCCGCAGTGGCACTAGTTGAGAAATCTAAGTGACGGAATGGCGATTTCGGATTAGGCTCGACTATGGTGCCTGTTATTTTATTAGCTGGGTAACGTGCAGAACTAGGCAAACTTCCACGTGAATTTAGATAGCCACTTCCAGCAGTCAAGGATGATTTACTGTTTACGGCGCCTGAGACAGACGATCCAGTTCCAAGGATATTGCTATTTAGCGGCACGGGGCCGACATTATTTGCATTTAATGAGGGGTGTGTTTGAACAAGGCCATGTGTTGCCGAATAGAAGGGCGATTCGAATGGTGTTGAACTACTGGGATTGGCCACATGTTGTTGCCAAAAAGTGCTTGCTGGTGTTAGATCCGGGCGATTGTCTGTAAAAAACCAATTAAAAAATTAATGAGGTTAAAAACAAATTTCTTACACTGTGTTGATGCGCGGTAACGATATTTCAAAATATTTCTTAAAATCACTGGTCCCTTCTGAACACTTATTAGTATTAACCTTAGGACGAAAACACCTTTATTACTGATATTATATTTCTGTACAGTAGTACAAAATGGTCATCTATTAATCAAAAACATTGTACCTGACAACTACGATTCGTTACCCTCCATTATCGCTTCCTGAAAACTGTCACCATCTCACTCAATCAGTAGCCACTTAGTGCAGAACCTCGGGTGTGCCGAATCTGGTATATCCAGTGGTCGCTAGAGGACTCAGAGTTCCAGAGGAGGACCGTAGTAGTTTATCCTAGAACCGAATATCGCCAGGAATCTCAGTTCCTTTTGGTTGGCAACATTATCAACCAAAAGGCCACAAAACATGTAATAAAGTAGTCGAACCACCATTACGATTAATAAATGTTTATTCATTCATTATGTCATTCCACAAAGGTTTTACGTAATATTCGGAATTTAAGTCAGAATTTATTCTTGGGAGCTCTGAAAATATCTCTAACTATTAAAAATAAATGTATCCGTTTTGTTATTTTGCTAAGTCCAAAGGTTTGTAATACTGGTTAACTTTTTTCAAACAGCTTATTCTTCCTGCCATATCAATACTAATAAAGTAAAACACGCACGCCGAAGTTTATATATCTTTGCAGAAAGAACTTCGATGACTAGGAATCAATACAATATAAATTATATATATTTATGTTAAAAACCAATAAAGTAATACGTGCTTTCATTTCTTTCACTTATATATATTATATTTACAGTTTTACATTCACAGGTTTGCATTTTTCCTCCACATCTAACGATCGTTTGTATAGCACCAATATGATATAGCCGTCCGATTTTCACTAAATATGTCATAAAATTTAAGACTAATATTAAATGGCTATATCTAAAATTTGATGAAAATCTGTTCAAAACTGAAAAAGTTATAATTTTGAATTGTATTAATTTCTCGATCGTTCCTACGTGAGCTATATGATATAGTAGCCATAAAATTTTGCACAAAATTGTAGAATAATATGAAATGGCTATATCTAAAATTTGATGAAAATCTGTTGAAAACTGAAAAAGTTAAAATTTTTATTTGTATTAATTTCTCGATCGTTCCTATGAGAGCTATATGATATACATAGTAGTCCGATTTTCCAAAAATTGTAGAATAATATGAAATGGCTATAATTTAAATTTGATTAAATTCTGTTGAAAACTGAAAATGTTATAATTTTTTTTGTAAAAATTTTCCGATCATTCCTATGGCAGCTATATGATATAGTTCTCCGATCCGACCCGTTCCCTCATATATACGAGTGAGAGCATATAGATGACAAAGTTTCATTTATACAGCTTCAAAACTGAGAGACTAGTTTGCGTAGGAACAGACAGACGGACATGGCTAGATCGGCTGTTGATCCTGATCAAGAATATATATACTTTATATGGTCGGAGGTACCTCCTTCATTGATTTGCAAACTTCTGACTGAAATTATAATACCCTGCAAAGGTATAAAAAGTTCGGCCTAAGAATGTGGAATTTCTGCATGTTCTGAATTTCTGTTGTTTTTTTGGCTTTAAAAAGCTGTTTTATATTTGTATAAGTTACTGCGTTAGCTCGTAATTCATGTCCGAAAGCCAAAAACAAAATTATTTTGTACTAATAACATATTTATCTTATACAAATGTGAACATAAGAAACCCAAATAAAATGACGAAAATAAAGAAAAACAAGAAAGGAAGCTAACTTCGGCACGCCGAAGTTTAAATACCCTTGCAGATAAAAATTCTATGACTAGGAATCCATACCATATAAATTATATATATATGTGTTTAAAAACAATGAAGTAATACCTGCTTTCATTTCATTCACCTATACATATTATATTTGCAGCTTTATATTCAAAGATTTGTATTTTTCTTCTACATCAAACGATCGTTTGTATGGCACCTATATGATATAGTCGTCCGATTTTCATGAAATTTGACACAAAATTTAAGAATAATATAAAATGACCATATCTCAAATTTGATGAAAATCCGTTGAAAACTGAAATAGTTATAATTTTTAATTGAATTAATTTCTCAATTATTCCTATGGGAGCTTTATGATATAGTAGTTCGATTTTCATAAAATTTTACACAAAATTGAGCAGTTTGATAAAATAGCTATATTTTAAATTTGATCCAATTCTATTGAAAACTGAAAATGTTAAAATTTTTTTTGTAAAAATGTTCCGATCATTCCTATGACAGCTATATGATATAGTCGTCCGATCCGGCCGGTTCCGACATATATACGAGTGAGAGTATATAGAAGACTAACTAAAAAGTTTCATTCAGATAGCTTTAAAACTGAGAGACGGATTTGCGTAGAAACGGACAGACGGACAGACGGACAGACAGACGGACAGAAGGACAGACGGACAGACGGACATGGCTAGATCGATTCGGCTGTTGGTCCTGATGAAGAATATATATACTTTATATAGTCGGAGGTGCCTCCTTCACTGCGTTGCGATCTTCTGACTGAAATTATAATTCCCTGCAAGGGTATAAAAACAATGAAGTAATAACTGCTCTTATTTCATTCACCTATACATATTATATTTTCAGTTTTACATTCACAGATTTGCATTTTTGCTCCACATCTAACGATCGTTTGTATGGCACCTATGTGATATAGTCGTCCGATTTTCATAAAATTTGCAACAAAATTTAAGACTGATATAAAATGGCTATATTTCAAATTTAATGAAAATCTGCTGAAAACTGAAAACGTTATAATTTTTACTTGTATTCATTTTTTGATCGTTAGTGATATAGTAGTCCGGTTTTTTTTATAACTTTACAGACAATTTAGATTAAAATAAAATGATATTTGATGAAAATCTGGTGAAAACTGAATAAGTTATAATCTTTAATTTTATTAACTTCTTTTATTTCTTATAAAATAGCTATGTATCAAATTTGATGAAAATCTGTTGAAATCTAAAAATTTTTAAATTTTTTTTGTAAAAATTTTCCGATCATTCCTATGGCAGCTATATGATATAGTCGTCCGATCCGGCCCGTTCCGACATATATACGAGTGAGAGTATATAGATAGCTTCAAAACTGAGAGACTAGTTTGCGTAGATCGACTCGGCTGTTGGTCCTGATCAAGAATATATATACTTTATATAGTCGGAGGTGCCTCCTTCACTGCGTTGCAAACTTCTGACTGAAATTATAATACCCTGCAAGGGTATAACAACCAGGGTTCAATTTATTACCAAGTAAGAAAACTTCTTGATCAGCATTCCCACGATATCTAGCCAAAAAAGATGCAAACTCAGCGCACATGGCTTAACAGGTGAACATATCTAGGGCATCTGCCAATTGGGAAATCAATGCATTAACCAATTTTAATTTGAAACGGCCTATAGTTACAAATCGTCATAAGCAGCCAATATTAATATTGAACGTCAGCGGAATCAACGACTGCAGGAGAACCGACTGCTAAGCTTGAGGAAAGTTACTTCTTAATCCAATTTAATTAAATATTTTTTTTTAAATAATGAATAATCTTTAAATGGCGCCCGAATAGGGACCTGTTTAACCTAACACCGCGAACCGGATGTGCAAAAAGTGTCGGTACTCCTATTAAAAAGGAATCTGTCAAATGTATGGTCACGAGAGCACGCCGGCGAATGTTATTTTTGAAGAATAGTTTTAAGCATACTTAAAAAAAATGTCACTAAATATTACAAGCTATTTAAAAGATTAATAATTCTCAACACAAAATAAGACTACAAAATTCGAATAATTTATATTCAACCTTCGACTTCTGAGTAACTAAAATCAAATCCAAAATCTTTTTATTAATTGTTCATCTATCAAAATGATCAAACAAGACTTAATCGACAGACTCTCAATAAAAATTGTTCTAGAGAAAAATTTCGGTAGCTTAGTAAAGGAAATACTGAATCCTAATTAGGACTTCTCAAAATATGAAGATCATGAAATTAAAAAAGAGTTTGCATGCCAACTAAGTGAGTTAGACAAATTACCAAATATTGTCCGATCGCTTAAAGGCTTTTTGGAAAACAAAACCGAATATTTATCATGAAAAAAGTGTTGCCAAAACTTTATGAAAACAAAATGAGTTTACCTAAATATTACGGAATCCTCATAGCAATTCGCAATAAAATTATTGGATAAGAGTACGCTTTACTAGAGTCATACAATACTGCTCTCTGCAACACCATAGTTGAATTCTACCACACAGTCTAACAAGAACTTTATCTAATTTTGAACCAAATTGGCAATCTAGATGTCTCTCAGGGGACTGTGAATTCCTTGACTATCATGTACAGAGAAAAGGATTGGACACCATTGTCATTATCCGAATCATTTGCAAATAACACTCACATCTAAGAAAACTCCACTTGCCCAGTTTAACCAACCCAAACCATACAATCAGACTTTCGCAAAACAGGTAACACCTTACGGCGCACCAAACATTCCCCCACGACCACAACCAAAACCAGTACCTATGGAGGTTGTGCAATCAATCCGTTCGCGTCATATAAATTATATGAACAAACCGAGAAACAAAATTTATGTAGGGAAGAGACCACTCAGGACAGCCAACGTTCAAGATATTAACAAAACACGAAGGCAATTCCATATTTGCTCAGACTCAGATAGCGCACCATAGCAAGATACAGAAGAAGCTTCATTTATCTCAGAACATGAGTATGGTCAGTAAAAAAAAGGAAAACAACATAAATGGCCTACAGGAAGAATACGTATGGCAAGCCGATGGCGAACAACAAGAATATATTGACAGTTCATAACTCTATTTTTTAGAATAAACCGTTCCTCGCAACCGTACTTTAAAGTAGCCAAGGGGAATGGAAAAATATTAAAATTTCTTATTGACAATGGTTCAAACCAAAACCAATCAGTATCAAAGCCCAATCTTAACGAAATAGATTTCGTTGTCAATTTAGTTGGAGGAGATACTAAAATAACATATAATGCTATGCTTAAACTCCCTGACCTTTCCGATGCACCGATGAAATTCTTTTTAAGACGCATTAATCCTTTAAAATAAAAATAAGATTTAAATTTACCAATTAGTTACTGAAGCAGTAAGTACAATCGGACTACAAATCAGTCATATGTCACAAAAATAAATTATAAATCGTCTCGTTTAAAGTCACAAAAATCTCTTTTCCGACCAAGATACAAAACTTCTATACACAACTAAAATAAATTATAAATCGTCTCGTTTAAAGTCACAAAAAGATACAAAACTTCTATACACAACTAAAGTAGTTGGTGAAATCAGAACTGTGTCTGACTCCCCAGTATATTGAAAACACTACCCATACCCAACATCGTGAAGACAAGATGTAGAAAAACAAACCGAGATGCTTAAAGACGGCATTATAAGATCACCATACAACGCACCAGTTTGAATAGTCCCGAAAAAATCCGGTCGGTCTGAAGAAAACAAATACAATTTAGCAATTGACTTTAGGAAACTTTATGAAGTTACTAGATCAGATCGGTATCCAATTCCCGAAATCGGCAAAATAATCGCACATCTTGAAAGCAACACATATATTGCTCTGTTAGATCTGAAGAGTGGTTTCCATCAGATACCACTAAAAGGCACGGACATAGAAAAAACAGCATTTTCTTTTAAGGGGGAAAAATACGAATTTAAAAGATTCCCACTTGGCCTAAAAAATGCTTCATCTATTTTTCAAAGAGCTTTAGACGACATATTAAGAGAACACATAGGAAAAATCTGCTACGTATACGTAGACGCCATTATAGTCTTCAGCAAAGATGAGGTAGAACATGGCCGGAACCTTGAAAAAGTATTTTCAATACTTCAAAATGCAAACATGAGAGTCCAAATAGAAAAATACAATTTAAAAAAAAATGAAGTAGACTTTTGAGGGTACACAATATCTAAAAATGGTGTTAGAACCAATATAGATAAAATAAAAGCAATTACGAAATTCCCAGTACCAAAAACGTTAAAGGACCTACGTTCCTTTTTGGGCTCGACAGTATATAACAGCCGTTTCATCAAATACTATGGAAAAAAAGCAAAGCCATTAACCATTCTCCTAAGAGGCTAAGAAGGCCGTATATTAAAGACCAAGTCAAGCAGAAAAGCTATCAACTTGAACAAAGAGGCTATAGTGGCATTCAAAAAAATTTAAAAATACTTTCTTCTCCAGGGATGTAACTTTTGCATACCCAGAATTCGGAAAAGAATTCCAGTTGACTACAAATGCCTCCAGCTTAGCAATTAGAACAAAATCATAGACCCATAACATTCATTTCGCATACCCCATCGAAAACTGAAGAGAATTATGCTACAAACGAAAGTGAGATGATCGCAAACGTGTGGTGGGCCCTTTAAAGTTTAATACATTATCTTTATGGATATTCAAAAGTAATAATACACACCGATCATCAGCCCTTGAGTTTTTCAAATATCCTAAAGACCCATAACGCAAAACTAAAATGCTGGAGAGATCTCATTGGTGAATATGACCACAATATCACGTACAAGCCCGGAGGTACTAATGTAGTAGCAGATGCATTCTTTCGAGGTTCCGCAAAAATCAATTCAATAAGTTCATCAGAAACAGTCCATAGCGATAGAAACTAATCACACGGTCTCATATTTTTAGTAGAAGCACCGATCAATGCATTTAAAAAAAACAACACAGCACAGTTACAGATCTTTATAATTTCGAAATTTCATTCCCAACCTATCACAGGCATATCATACAACAAAAATTTCTACACGGAGAAAAACTTATTGCAATTTTGGCAAACAGACTCGACCCTAAATTCATAATCGGAATTCTCACATCTGAAGGTTATAGATAAAATACAAAATATTTATCCCACACATTTTAAATCATAAAAAACAAGATTTACACAAAATGAAGTAGAAGACCCTAGAACATTAAAGAGCACATATAGATGCAAAAGAAAACAGTATACAAATTTTGAAGAACTATTTTTTCCCGCAGGCTCAAAAAAGAATTCAAGCCATAGTTCAAGTTTGTCAAATTTGAGAAGAATCAAAGTACAAAAGACACCCCCCAAAAAGGAGAAATCCAACCAACCCACATCCCTAATTACCCAGGAGAAATTATTCATATAGACATTTATATTATAAGAAAACAAAGCGAACTAACAGGTATGGATAAATTCTCTAAATATGCCTAAGTAAAAATTTGAGAGCATCTGAAGACATATTGAATCCACCAAAAGAAATGCTTATTGCTTTCGGTATGCCGAAATTAATAGTAAGAGTAGATAATTAATGAGCTAGAAAACTATGCTAGAAAACTATATGCTAGAAAACAAACTTAAGATATCAGTATCGACGAGCAACAAGCAAATAAAGAGATTTTATTCAACGCTAACTAAAATTGTACGATATCCTAAAAAAAAACAACAAGAACATGAAATTTGCAGACTTGCTTTTTAAGTCAGTATAAGAATATATTAATTCCATACACTCAGTAACGAAAGACAGACCAATAGAAATATTTTTCAGAAGCACAATTCTAATTTCAATAATAGATATTGGGGAATAGAGGGAAGAAATTAAACAGAAAATAAGAACTAAACAAATTACAGATCTAGAATATCACAATCAAAAGGGATAAAACTCGATTCAATATTTACCAGTCGACACAGTTACTTGTAAAAATAAATAAAAGACTACGATTAAAACTTACACCCGCATACAAAACAAAAAAAGTAACAAGGAATAAAAACAACACTATTAAAACACAAATCGGAAAAATCATATATAAAAATAATATAAAAACATAACTTTTCAGACTCTTTTTACCAACACGCTTGGGGATAGCCACGGTCCTCGATTATTCTAATTCGCAAATCATCTCTCTTGAAATAGGATTAGCAGCTAAACAAGACGGAACATTTAAAATCATCCACATATTTAATTTACAGAACTACGAAGAAACACTTTCGGAATTTGACGAAGCTCTTCAAAAAATCATACGATCTCAACCATAACATCCATATCTTTCTTACGAATTAAGACAGCAATAGGAACTGCGTGAAAATGGATGGCAGGATTACGAAATTTTAGAGATCAAGATAAATGAACAATTAGAAAACAATAATAGACAAGTAGTAATCAATAGATTAATTAATAAAAAATCAACAAATTTTCTAACGTCACTAATGCAATGCTTAAAGTCGCCCAGAGCTCGAATGAAATTCAAAATCAAAAAGCAAACATCCTAACATATAAAATACAATTAAAACAAGAAAGGAAGCTATCTTCGACACGCCGAAGTTTACATACCCTTGCAGATACAAATTCGATCACTATGAATTAATATAATATAACTTATATTATTAAAAAGAAAAAAAAAAAAAATTACTGCCTTCATTTTATTCACCTATGTATACTTATTAAATTAACAGTTTTACATTCACAGTTTTGCATTTTCTTCTATATCTAACGATCGTTTTACGGGAGCTGTATGATATAGTCATCCGATTTTCATAAAAGCTATAAGATATAGTCGTCCGATCCGGCGATATATACGAGTGAGAGTATATAAAAGACTAACAACAAAGTTAGTCAGAACTGAGAGACAAGTTTGCGTAGAAAAGGGTAGACGGACAGATGGACAGGCGGATAAGGCTGGATCGACTCGGCTGTTGATGCTAATCAAGAATATAAATACTTTATATGGTCGGAGGTGACTCCTTCACTGCGTTGTAAACTTCTGAGTGAAATTGTATCCCAGTCGGACTTTGCTTCATGCGATCTTATGCATGGTCCCTAGTTCAACAAGGTGTCAAGGTGGTACCTGAATCGAACACTGTTCAGTTCAATGAATTCTGTGCTGAGGTACTTCCCTTTTGAAATATTTTTTTAACACGTACTGCGACATTAAGCAAAAAATCAGAAAGTATTTTACGTTTTGCTTTTTAAAGTACTTAGAATTTCTCTAAATGAAAATCGAAAAAGATCTAGAGAATATTATCCTATTAATATGAACCTAATCTTATATTTTTGAAAGTTTGACTACTTTTCTTGAAAAAAAATGTTTTTTGTTAAAATAAGTATAAAAAGTAATTATAATTAATATCTTTTAGCTAATAAATGTTTATAAAAATGGAAAACCTTAAGAAAAGTTTAAATTTGAAAATGGTGCATAATTTTTCAAGCACAAAACGTAAAAGTTAAATTATATAATGTTGTAATCTTATTTACCCACAGTTATTGACTTACTTGATCAATCTTTAACAGAAACAATTTTTTTTTCTTTTTTATTTAATTAACAATGGAAAAAAAAGTAAGAAAAAGTTTGCCTCGCGCTCGTCTGTTTATAAGGTGGGTGGTCTAACCTCTAAGCCACGCGTCAATTCAAACATCAAGCGAGCAAAAAAATAAATGTCTCTCTTAGACGCTATATGCACATACAGTGGATCACAGCTTATTTCGTGCAGAGGTAAACTTAAAATTCAAATTCTTATAGCTAACAAACGGAACGAGATATACAAAATATTTAAATGCAGTTTTGTTAAGTAGGATTTATGCATTTATTGAGACACTTTATTATTTTTAAATACCATTAGTTAACTCTTAAATCTATAAAAACTAAAAATATCGACGTTTTTCATGTCACAGCTTATTTCGTGCAAGAACTTTAAGTACACTAAATTTGTAATTTGTTAATCTTAAATAACTTTTTCTTGTTGCAATCCATTGGAGAAGATATCAGCATATATATTTATAATTTTTTGGCGTTTGGTTACACTGAAAAAAAGTTTTCTTTGATTTACAAAAATGAGCCCGCGTACACCCATGAAGCAGAGCAAATTGGTCCTAAATCACTTCAAAATGAAAAAACTAAACTTTATTTTGCTGAAATAGTCAACGTGAGCTCTATTACTGTCCAATATATCATCCAATGCTTCGACCGAAGCATTATTTATTTATTTATTTATCTGCTAGCAGATAAAGGCCAAAATGCTCAAAATAAAACTTTTACAGGTATGGAGAAAAAGCGAATTATACCCAAAAATTAAATAAATAAATTAATTAATCGCCAAAATTGGGCACCAAAACATACAGTAGATATTGAGCATGAAATGTGCAAAGGTGTCGTCCGCCGCGACTTGCGGAAACACAACTGTAATGGCCGAGTAGCCCGCAAAAGGCCTTTTATTAGGCCGAAGAATCAGAAGCGCAGGCTTAAATTTTCCAACGACCATGTAACTCATCCGTTATCGATCTGGAATGATGTTATTTTCATAGACAAGTCCAAGATCAACATTTTTGGCCAAAATTGGGACGGATGGAATGAAGTATTCTTAGGGTCAACTAATTACAGAGCTCCACAATAAGAATCTAATACCTACGGTCAAGCATGGTTGCGATAGAATCATGGCTTGGGCATACATGGCGGTATCTGGAGTTGGAATCTTGGCGTTAATAGAAGGAACTATGAACAAACATTCAGAATTCAGAATTTGTGGCCAATTTTGGATCTTGGTATCCGCAAGAGGTCGATACCAAACTTTTAGTTTTAAGCGTTATCTAATGGTATTTGATAATAATAAAGTGTCTTACTAAATGCCTAAATCCTACTTAACAAAACTGCATTTAAATTTTGTTTACATCTCTTACAGTTCGATAAATATACGAGTTTGAATTTTAAGTTAACCTTTGCACGACATAAGCTGTGAGCCACTGTATATAAGTACATATGTGTATATCTCCAGTGCAGTTTGTTTACGTGGCGCGATGTGTAAGCGGCCGGTCTGTTAAACATTAAGACGCAGGTTCAATCCCCAGTTGGTCGTATAATATTCTAAAAAAAAGTTTGTGAGTATAGTTGAAAATAATTAACTACAATAAACAATTTAAATGTAACAAATAAAAAAATTTGAGCTTGTAAAAAAGTCGAAACTTCATATAACATATGGGCAGTTCTCCAGAAAGGTCCACCGCGGCCAAAAACTTAAAATTGCTTAAAAACGAATATTTTTAACATGGTTGCATAAAAAATTGGTCAGATTGATCAAGTCTAAGATAAGTTTACATTTTCTACAATAAATTTCAAAAAATCGAAATTTTTTCCTGAATTTTTGAGATTCATGATGAATATTATCATGAGCCGAGATATTGAGGAAGAACGAGGCGTTCAACCCAAGATAATTATAGGACTCTCCACAGCGGTCAAAACTGAAAGACGAGATGAACTATCGGATAACAAAAGACATAGACTATACTACTACTACCATACTACTAATCGATACGATACCACTATATACCCTACAAGGGAAGAATGGATAAGACTGACGACTCGAGGCTGAGCTGCGGGGTAGGGGACGGAATCTTCATTGAGAACTGGGGAGTATAAGAGTCTTTTCACCTCCCAGCGACAGTGTTCCTGGCGGTGGTTTTCGGAGTTCTAAAACCTTTCGAACACTCATTAAATCAAGACATCCGGAAAACCAAGGTAATGGGCTACTCAGATAACCAAGCGTCCATCAAATCTCTCGCTCCAGAAAGGACTACATCAACACTAGCGTACAAATGCAAAGAGGCACTAATAAAACTCAAAAAGGACAACTGGGGACAAATAACTTGTGTACCCGGACACAATGAAAGTCCAGGGAAGGAGAAAGCTGACGAGTTGGCCACGAAAGGCTCAGAGGACAGTTTAACACAACAGACAGTCTCTTTAAACTCAGTCTAGAAAGAAATCACGGCCATTTAAAATTACTAGTAAACAAGGAATGGTCGATAAAGACGGAGCACAAAAGATCGAAATTATGCTGGCAATTTATAACAGGAGACGGACTGCGGAGTTTACTTTCAAGAGTAGAAAAGACTTTAAAAGAATAACAACAGCCGTCACTGGCCACTGGCCAAAGGCACGCACGTCAACTAGATGGGCCCTACAATCCAGAGTGCAGAAGTTGCGAGCAGGAGACACCAGAGCATCTTTTGTGTCACTGCCCAGCACTCAACCAAATCAGGACGAGTCACTTCGGATCTCAGCAGCTCAGCAGCCCCTTTTTTATACCCTTATAGGGTATTATAACTTCAGTCAGAAGTTTGAAACGCAGTGAAAAAGGCACCTCCCACCATATAAAGTATACATATTTTTGATCAGCATCAACAGCCGAGTCGATCTAGCCGTCTGTCCGTTTCTACGCAAACTAGTCTCTCTGTTTTGAAGCTTTCTGAATGAAACTTTGTAGTTAGTCTTCTATATACTCTCGCTCGTATATATATATATGATATAATAGTCAGATTTTCATAAAATTGTACACAAAATTGTAGAATACTACGAAATGTATATAACTTAAGTTCAATGAAAATCTGTTGAAAACTGAAAAAGTTATAATTTTTAGTTGTATTAATTTCTCGATCGTTCCTATGGGAGCTATATTTATAGTAGTCCGATTTCATAACATTTTACACTAAATTTTAGAATAATATGAAATTGTATTATCTCAAATTTGATAAATATCTGTTGAAAATTAAAAAGAGTTATAGTCTATATATGTAGTTATAGATATAGTCGTCCCATCTGATCCGTTCCGACATATATACGAGTGAGAGTATATAAAAGACTAACTACAAAGTTTCATTTAGATAGCTTCGAAAATGAGATACTAGTTTGCGTAGAAACGGACAGAAGGACAGGCGGACATGGCTAGGCGACTCGACTGTTGATGCTTATCAAGAATATATATACTTTATATGGGCGGAGGTGCCTCCTTTACTGCGTTGCAAACTTCTGACTGAAATTTTAATACCCTACAAGGATATAAAGATTAAAGTCAATTAACCATGTGCTTTTGGTACCGGGTATCGCACAGTCGATTACACTCGAGTGTAGATCTCCTATTTGTTGATTTGTAAAATTTTTAAGTAATTCACTAAGCACGCAATCCAATTAAGATATCCATATGTATCTATTTATGTACATATGCAAGTACATACGCTAAATGACAAGACATAAACAAAGAGAAAAACTTGCGGCAATGAGGTTTTTTATTGGCATAACAAACTTGACTGTCAGAGGAACCGTTGCTTAAGCCAGTCAAAAGAAATGTATGTTATTTTGCAACGAAAAGCCAAAATAAGCGGACCGTAACGATTTTCACCTTACTGCTAAAGCCACCATTGTAACTCCGATTGGTATTAACAGTTTATACAAAA